ATTTATAATTGATTACAGAATATTGTGCATTAATAAGTTTTATATGTAAAGCAATAAAAGTTACAGAACTTTGTAAAATGTTATGAAAATTTCTAGGTTTTAAGTAACAAAATTACAGAAAGAAATCCTAATTTCTTTATCCTTCTGCTTGAAGAATGTATAACTGCTTTATTTAATATTTGAAATGTTATTGGTTTCTTTTTTTGTGTTTGGGATTGTCAAAATAATATGAAGGCTATTAGTGCTTATATCCTGATTAATAAAATATGAAAAGAAAAAGTTGTGCTTATAAAGTAATATCATAGACTGTGGTGTTGGGATATGATATAAGGCCATTTAATTTCACAAAATTTGTTTTTGTAGTTTAACCATAGACAGATAAGTATCTACAAACAATGTTTGAATAAATTAATACTTAATGTCAGTGTTTCATCATAAATTTTTAAATAAAGGTACCTAACACCTAAAAAATAAGCATCTAATCCAATTATTGGAGAGAGATCTAAACTAGTTTTATAAGAATAAGAGAAACTTGTACTTATATAAGAAGTTAGTGTATTGTAGTAATTTTATGAACATTAAAATTTGTAACATAACTAAGATCTTTCTTCACAAAATATGATTTTAAAAATGATTTGTATCTCACTAGACATACCTGATCGAAGTCACGTGATTTTACATCTCTTTTAATGTTGTGTTTACAAATTTATATGTTACAGTGGGACTAAACCAGGGTTTCTCAAAGTTTAGGTCACAGAAAAGTTTGGGAATAAAAGGGCTAAGTTTTAAGTCTGCATCTATCTAGAAATAACTGAGAAAAATACTTATCACATAGTTTTATTGTTGTGTTTACAAGTGAGTCATGTTATGGTGACATTAAACTATTGGAAGTTAATCTGAAGTTACAAAAAAGATCAGCCTGAGAAGGATTCAAAACCATGATTCTACATCCAAAGCAGCAGCTTCTGATCTAACCAACTAAGCTAGTGCATCTTGTACACCACATGTCTCAGTGTTCCATTTGACGATATATGACAGGACTTTCTAGTAATTTTTTTATTCTTTTATGCCCATATAGAGCAATGAAGTAAAAACCAACTTAGGCTCATGGCATTAAAGACAAGTTAGCTTAGTTAGTCAAGACTGAATTTGCATGATAAGAAAAGTAATGATTTTGAATTCTTCCTAGTTTTAGTTTTCACTTCTTAATATTAATTTCTAACAACACAGAATGATGAGCCACCTGTATCATTTCTAATTTTTGAAGCTAAAGAGTTGTGTCTGTAATAGATAAAAAAATTGGCTTTAAAACAAATGAACCATGTGCTGTATGTGGGCATTACTAAGTTGTTTTGAATATTTTCAGGAGTGGATGATGGGAGTGACCTTGATCGACACATGCTGACAGGAATTTATGAAAGAATCAAGGCAAGTGAGTTCAAACCAGGATCTGACCATGTGACACAGGTGATGAAGGTCCAACAGACTATAGTGGGCAAAAAACCGGTATGTTAATTCATTCTTCCTTTTCGATTGTAATAAAAAAAAAAAGATAAGTGAATTCTATCCTGCTAATTAGTATGTTAAACATCTGTGTTTAATAAAAATAACTATGTTGCATTTGTATGAAATAAGGTTTGTATGCTTTTCTACAATCAATATTCATTAGAAAAACAAATAGAGATCATATTTATACACCATCCAATGGCTCAGCAGTCAATCAGAAGGCTTATAACACCCAAAAATAGATTTCAATACCTATGGTAGGCATAGCACAGGTAGCCCATTGTGTAGCTTTACACTTAGTAACAAATAAAGAAATATGTTTGTACTGACAGTTTAGCTTTGAACACCAAGACAGTTATATAGAAATATATACAACAATCCAAACTATTATTGTGATGGTTATTAGCATTATATACTAAACATGATGATAAAATGAGGAGGAGGAGAAATTCCTACTGAGTAGAGCATTAGAATTCTTTGGCAGTTGATTAATTTTTGTGAAGAACTGAGTTTTGTTGATTTAATTTGTATTCTGTATAGAGTTTATACAAGCTGCTAACTGTGACAATGATTGACATATTATCACCATAAACTTATCTATCTATATATATATATATACACACACACACACACACACACACAAGTAAATGAAAATAAAATCATCATTGTACTTAGCCAATTTTAGAACTCGGTGTTTTACAACTGAGTCTTAAATATATTGGGATAACTATAGACTATAGCATCTACTTTGCAATGTTTTTGAGTGATTGTTTTAGCAACAGAAGTAAAACGAAAGATCTATCCATAACAAAGGTTTACTTACAAAACATACTAGTCTGGCATGGTCTGGTGGTTTGGTTGCTCAACTTGCAATCTGAGGATAGCAAGTTCAAATCTCAGTACTGAACATGCATGCCTGCCATTTCAGCCTTGGAAACATTGTAATATGACAGTCAATCCCACTTTTATTGGTAAAAGATTAGCTCAAGAATTTATGATGTTGACTAGCTGCTTTCCTTCCAGTCTGTTACTTTCAAACTAGGGATGGCTGAAAAAGCTAACCCTCTAGTAGCTTTCCACAAAATTAAGTAAACAAATAAAGCTTACTCAAGTAATATTGGACTGGATGCTAATCTTCATCTTTGGTATAAATAATATTGGACTAGATGCAAATCTCCATCTTTGGTATAAGTGATATTAGACTGGATGCTAATCTTCATCTTTAGTATAAGTAATATTGGACTAGATGCTAATCTTCATCTTTGGTATAAGTGATATTACACTGGATGCTAATCTTCATCTTTGGTATAAATAATATTGGACTAAATGCTAATCTTCATCTTTCGTATTTCACTTATACTAAAGATGAAGATTAGCATCCAGTCCAATATCATCTATACCAAAGATGAAGATTAGCATCCAGACCAATATCACTTATTCCAAAGATGAAGATTAGCATCCAGTCTAATATCACTTATACCAAAGATGAAGATTAGCATCTAGTCCAATATTACTTATACTAAAGATGAAGATTAGCATCCAGTGTAATATAACTTTATTGGACTAGATGCTAATCTCATCTTTGGTATAAGTAATATTGGACTAGATGCTAATCTCATCTTTGGTATAGATGATATTGGACTAGATGCTAATCTCATCTTTGGTATAGATGATATTGGACTAGATGCTAATCTCATCTTTGGTATAGATGATATTGGACTGGATGCTAATCTTCATCTTTCATATAGATGATATTGGACTGGATGCTAATCTTCGTCTTTTGTATTTGTAGAACCTTGCACTTCCACACAGACGTCTTGTGTGTTATTGTCGACTTTATGAAATATACGATATCAATAAGAAGGAGCGACCAGGAGTTCATCAGCGAGAAATCTTTCTTTTCAATGACATGATTATGGTAAGTGGACCCAATGTGGTGAAATACACATACTGCTTGATTAAAAAAATGTTTTTATTATTATGTAGTCAGTATTAAATGTGATAATAAAATAATAGTAGAAGATCTGTGAAGAAGACAGTGTGTCATATATACATACAGATATGGTTTCTTTTAATTGTTCCTCTAACTTCACACTTTTAACTTTCACAACGTTTTAAAATCATATTCTTCTTGAGCAAAGCATTAGTATTTTTGGCAGTTTATGAATTTTCATAAAGAATTAACTCATGTTTGTATAATTAACTGACCTCAATTGTGAGATGAATTATATAAATACCATAGTTAAATGTAAGATAAATGAAGTAAAATGGAAAACTTTTAGCCTTTATCAAAAAAGAGGAAATTTTGATTTTATCTTATTATGAAAAGTAAAAAACTTGGAGCATTTAACTAAATTCAAGTAAGGTTTGCTTTCTGACATTGTATAAATCTGAAATTTTAGATTAAACACTTTTATGAATTTCTTACACTGCAAGTTTTGTAAAGGCTCATCCAAAACATCCAATGAAAACAACAATATACTAAAAACATGATACATTTTAAATTACAGATAAAGCTTTGTAAAAAAAACTAAGTGCACTTTTTAATCTTTTTTGTTTTAGGTCACCAAGATATTCAACAAGAAAAAAAACAGTGTTACTTACACTTTTCGCCAGTCTTTTTCTCTTTGTGGTATGAACGTTACTCTTTTTGAAGCCCCTTGTAAGTTCTTTTTTAAACATTTATTTTGTTAAACATGAACACTCATAGCCAAAAATTTAATTCCTTTGTAAGTGAAGAGTGTACATTTTTGTATTGTACTTCTAAATAGCACAATAGCATAAATTATGCATTTGTTTTCAATAAATTCAAAATTTCTCCCATTCGTATTTTTAACATTGCCTTGACAAACAAATCCAAACATGGTCCACTATATATAACCTCCACAAAACTCTGTGAGTACAAATACAGACACATTCTGGGAAAGTAGATCAGTCATATGTAATGTGTGAAAGATGAAAAAACATTGTAAACTGAGTGAATTTGAGAAGAAAGGAGATTACAGGCTGCTGAAAGTATTTGGATACTGATCATTGAAAAATTTGCAGTGACTGGTCATACACCATTTAATTTTATTGATCACATGGTTGTACAAAAACAAAGATGCTCATGGGCCACCAAAAAATACTGTTTAAAAAGTGCAAATATTCAATTATCAAGATTGTGAAAAGCACTGAAAATCTTCTTTATAGTATTCAGTATAGTCCACGTGAAGGATTACTACTTGGTAGTATTCTAGAAGGAATGGGTTTCCGAAACCATGCATCACCATTAACCATCATGTTTTGTTTGGTATAAAGCCTCTCAACACTCAAATCTTGGCCCCAAAATTTGAGGAAGGATGAGAGTTATTTCTCCCAGTTTCAAAATACTGATGTAATATGAGTCTGAAGTTAGGAAATGAACAGTTTTATGATTACTGTGTTGAATCAACTATAAAGGATGGTTATGGGAGGACTTGTGAAGTAGGTGACATTCTGTACTTTGGGTATGTTATCTGTCTGTGAAATGTTTGCACTTCTAAGTGTTGACATATATTAAAATGTCTTAAATGAACACAAAAGTCGATGTGTTATTCCACCAGGATAATGCTCCCTTCCCCAAAGGATGCTTGATTTCATCGTGATGACTACAAATCCTGGATATCCCATAACTCAGAGATGATGTCTTTGGGAACATGTAGTAGGGTTAGGCCACAGCTTTCTAGTCATTATCAACTGACAAAGTTTTTAAAATCACAGTGAAAACAAGTCTACAAATCCCCTGTTGGAGCCTAACTGAGAGTACTTGAGCGTTGTGTATTTGTGAAGAGTTTTATATAAGTATTGAAAATTTTATCAAACTAAATGACCAAGTGAAAATAGTAACAAGTCCTATTGTAAGTGATAATATTTGATAAACAAATAAAGTTCATAGAGAATACAAAGGGATCATTGTTGCTTTTAGTTTCAGCCAATCAAATTGCATGAGTATTTACTGTTAAATGTCAATATCTTTTAACCCTTTTAGAGACACTGGTGTTTAATTTTCCAGTAATTTAACCAACAAAAGTTTTTTTTTTAATTAGTCATTAATATTCTTTTTATGGTACTATATCCTTAAGTTATTTATGTTTGTAAATAGTAAAATTATCAGTGTTAAGTTAGCAACCTAGCATAATATCTACAGTTGTATTCTAAATAGATACTTATATTCCCATCTTAACACCAGATCAAGTACAGGGTAATTTATATGTGTTACAAATTTTGTATTAGCTCATTAATTTTAGAATTTTAAAAAGAAATGTTTTTATAATAACTGCTGCAAAAATTCACAAATGGCATTTCAATCTGCTGATTTTTATCACATTTTGGTATTTTATGAAATTTAAAAGAATAATTTATTTGCTTTCAGAGAAATAAAGTAAGAAAATTTTTCTGTTTTGCTTACTTTGCAGATTATCCACACGGTATTAGGCTTAGTCAAAGAGTGGATGACAAAGTACTAATTACTTTCAATGCCCGGAACGAACATGACCGTTCAAAGTTTGTGGAAGATTTAAAAGAATCTATTCTAGAAGTATGTTCTGCTGTTTTTTTCATATAAAGAGAATGTCACCGTGTTATATATTAAGTTAATTTACTATATACAAAAAAAAGTAAGGTCAGTTTTAATCTTAAACTTTCAATTGTTTGATATATTTATTCCTGTTTATGGCAAATGATTAATGAATTGGAATTACAGAAGGACTAAAAATGTAGGTTTTATATTCAAAGTTTTTTGTTTTACAAGCACCTCAATAATGCTTTTTATCTTTTCTAAGAACATTTCTGTCCTGTTTATATGAATATTGTAGCCTTTTTGTTTTTGCTGAAATTTTTATTGAAATTTCTATAAAATGTTTTAAGACCTTTGTTGGCTCCTGCATGAAATATTAATGTAATTTATTCCTTTTTCATTCCAGATGGACGAGATGGAAAGTATGAGGATTGAAGCAGAGCTGGAGAAGCAGAAGTCAGTAAGAAGCCGTGGGGGGGATAACAGAGACTCTGGGGTAGCTGACATGGAGATTGTTCCTGCTTCAAGCAAGGAAAGTCGGCAAGTGACCAATAGTCTTTCTGCAAACTTGAAACGTTCTGCTTTGTCTAATTCTTTGTTAGACCTTCATGAGCAGCGTAAGCCCTTTTTTATCTTTCTTTCTATTTATTTTTCAATAAAAGTTTCTGATATGTCACATTCATATTCTACGTTTTGGCTCAGTTGTAATTTTTAAAACAAAATGATGTCTAATACTTTCAGTAGATATATGTAATATTAAAATAAGTTATAAAATTTGTTAATAATATTTTTGTTGAATTGTTTAGTAATGCTTTTGTAATAAACTAATATAAAAAAACTTATAGTTTGTATTTAACTTTAAATAATAAGTTGATTTTTGATCTAAAGGTTGTCAACTATTCTTCAAGAATTTGGAATTATAATGAAGATAACTCCTGGTGAACATTTGTGATTAAATGATACAGTACATTTTAGAATGGAATGTTATTTGTACTTCAGTATATTTTACATGTTTAACCTCTTCCATGTCAGGTTTTTCTTGAAAATGAGCTAAACAAAATCTTATTTCCTGTTTTGACAGCTGGCAATACTTATATATTAATGATACAAAAGTTATTTTGTGATCTGTTATTATATTTCTGCACAAAATGTACTCAATAAATAAATTTTTCTTATCTGGATCTACACATGATGTGTATATATATATATATATATATATTATTTTAAGGAAAATACAGTAACAATAGGAATTCTTTTCTCTGGTGTTTATGATTTACAATTCAGAATAAATCTGGTAGATAATACCATATACAGTATTTCCATTGCCATCTAGTGAACACTGATTGTAATATATAATAACATGTGAATAAATTTGGGCAAATAATTTAAAATATGTTGAGAAATAGTTTGTCTGAATTAACTCAGGCAACTATTTTTTGAACTATGGAGGGTACCTGAGTTATCTTAGGTAAATTACAGAATGGGTTAATAGTTCAGTGGCACATCCAGGACTACTGACTGTTATCAGATAGTGAAATCTGCATGGTTTCAGAGCTAATGATGCTTGACCAACTAGAGATTTCAGAAGGTATACTAAAGTAAATTTAACACGCAATGGGGGGAAAAAATCATCACTTGCAGTTTTCAAAGAAAGATTAACTTTAAAATTGTTTTTTAATAGAATTTTGATAATGGACATTTAAAACTTGGGACTTCTATTTGATAATACACTGTATACTATGTCAAGTAGAAAAATAAAGAAAGTGTGTGTGTAAATTATTAAATTAACTTGTCTGTTTATTTTTGATAATCAAATCCTTCTGGTAAATGACCCAATTAACTTGTCTGCTTATGTTTGATATTCAGATCCACCTTATAATTGTGGACCAGATTAACTTGTCTGCTTATGTTTGATATTCAGATCCATTTTGTAATTGTTGACCCAATTAACTTCTCTGCTTATGTTTGATATTCAGATCCATTTTGTAATTGTTGACCCAATTAACTTGTCTGATTATGTTTGATATTCAGATCCATCTTATAATTGATCCAATTAAATTGTCTGTTTATGTTTGATAATCAGATCATTCTTGTAAATGACCCAATTAACTTGTCTATTTATGTTTTACAATCAGATCCTTCTTGTAAATGACATATGCTACATTTGTTATCCCTGAATTTTGTAGTTCTTCAGATTATCTTTTCAATCAATGTAGTTTAATGTCTCTATGTTTTCTTTACATAGATTAGATAGTTTTAGATTTTACTGATAATCTATGATATGGTTTTATTAAAGTTTTGAGTGCTAAACATACTACTTTTGTTGTGCATCAAGATAAATCAAACCTCATCTCCAAATTTTGGAAAAAGAAAATTTAAAATATTTAAACTATCAGTGATAATGAAATGTTGACATTTTTACATTTATAATTATAGAAATGAACAAACCAGTACGACGAGGCAGTGCAGGATCACTGGACAGTGGAATGGTCAGTAACTCTAGATAAGATACTAAATTTCATAAACAATAAGGTATTTTAATTAGCTGTTAACTGTTTCTCTTAGCTACTATAAAACATGCAAAGTGTTATTGTAATAGCTACTTTTGATATGTTTAACCTTACATGTGAGTTTAAACTGTACTGATAGAATTAAGTTACTCGTATAGGAACCGTTCTTGGAAATTTTTAATTACTATATTTAATGAAATTATTGTAACGTACTGATTACATATACTGAAGTACTTTTCATCATTTCAGTTAAAAGTTATCTTTTTTTAATTATATATATATATATATATATATATATATATATATATATATATCAATTATATTTTGTCAAGTAATTGTTAGCTTGGAAGGTTTTTATGCAGATGCTATGATGACAGTTTGTTTTAGATAAAGTAATTTTTCTTGTTTATTTTGTTACAGTCAGTATCTTTCCAGTCATCAGCAGCTAGTACAGTAAGTAGAGATTCGCTACTCCAGACAGTTCCAGTTAATGGAGCAAACAAAACAGTAGTAGACAGTGGTGTTATTCCAGTTACGTCTGCAGGCAAGTCTTCAAACACTCCAGGATTTTTGGGTGGTTTGTTCAGCAAGAAAGGAAAGTCTTCAAGTAGAATAAATACGCGTAAAAATGCTGAAACCTCGACTATGTGATAAAAATGTGACATAGATACTACTTAAAATTTAATGCTGTACCAAAGTGATTAGAGAAGAGCAGATATTGATGATATACTGATATTTGTATCATCAGCTTTTCGTCTATGGAGACAAAGCTGAGAAAGTTCTGGATTCAAGTGAAGGTGTGGCCGTAGTATTTACCATCGAGAATAGTGAACATGAGAAGGCCAACTGATTGTTGTTACACTGCTCATTGCTTGCATGTATAGAAACATAGTCTGTCTAAATATTAGCAGAGAGCAGCTTTGTGCCAAAGGTTATAAGTCGGGCCAAAGGAATTCTTGTTGATTACAGTCTGCAGTTAACTAGTGGTGTTTTATATATTGTGTCATTGTTTTTCTTTTAATTGAATGATAGAAAAGTATTAGATTCCTTAAAGTTAAGATAATAAAACAAGAACTTCTCTGTACATAAATTTTCAGAAATGTTGTGAATTAGGGGTAACTTGAAATCGGTAGATCATTAAAATAAATGTAATAAGTATATAAAGATGTAGTCTTACCTGAAAGTGTATAGTGCAACATAATAAAAGTTCTCTTAATATATATTTTTGCCTTTTGTTCCTGTGAAATGTGTAATTGACAATCCTTTTTAGTTTTTGTATAAATTGTTTTAATTGTTTCTTAAGTAGGTATGATCTTATTTGTTGAAGGTTTTGTTATACTTTTAAATATTTTACCAAACATTGCCCATCACGATCAGTTTATTTCTGTCAGAGTTCATTATTACATAATAAAATGTACTGTACTGATCAAGGAATAACTAAAGAAATAACTGATGAATTAAATTGTAAATTTTATATTTGTATTCAAAATAACTATTTATCATGAAGATTTTTAATTTCACTGACCATGAATTTGAATCACTGACAATGTGCAAAGAACCTAAACCAAACTCTCTGTCATTGAAATCTGTCTAAAAGATTAGCTTTCATTAAATCTTCATAGCCAGTTATTTATTTTGGCAATTTTTTGTTAGATGTAATAAAAAATCTCACTTATTTTGTAAACTTTAAAAATGTGAAACAAACGTATTTACTTATTTTAAACAATATTTTTTGTAAAGACATGATGGTTCTTCAGTTGTTTTAATTGTATCAAGATATCAGTTGAATATTGATCAGTAACATTACAACCAGGAGATGACATGAAATAACAACAACATTAGGTAGGGATAATTTATTCTAAAAATATTTGCCTAATTCAAGGTAGTTTAGACACTGAGGTAATTTCTTATTTTCAAAGTGAATTGTGCAATGATACAAAAAAAATGAAACTTTCGTTTCTCTAAAATCATCTAATGCAATTACTGTATCCTAGGTTATTGAGAAAAATGTCATCTAAAGTAAAGTGATGATTGGCAGGTTAAAAGAAATCTTGTTTAAATAGGAGAATTCCTTATTTGAATAATAGATAATGTATTACCTGCAAAAAAAAACTGCGGCTCATAGAATGGCTGTGTGTTGTTTTTGTTTTTCGAAGTGCATTCTTTTAGCTCATAACTCCATCTATTGACCGATTTGAGATCTAATTACAGCCGTTTGTATTGAGGATTCCCACTTGTTTCCTTTTGAAGAAAAGGGAGAACAATTTCATGATCAATTCTCAAAACACTTGAGTAAGTACTGGCGTTGATCTTAATATCTAGCTAATAGTTTGGAAAGCCAGAAACAATAATTTAGTAAAATTATGCAAATACATGCTTTTTAAAGGGATCATGTTACATGGTAATTTAGCACAGTTGACTTTGTGATATACGTAGATAGCTAAGATGAATTTATCATTTAATATAACTAAGTAGTCTTGCTAGAAATATTGTCCAGTGCTACAAAAAAATTCAGTTTTATTATCGTGAAAGAAGTTCAGTTATTAACGTATTTTTGTATTGTAGATTAGAGTAGTTAATTAAAAATTACACTGTACCACAACAATTCTTAGCTGAGAAATAATGATTTTGATAATATGGTCAGGTTAGCGTATGTGGTGTTATACAAGCAAATAAAACTTCTCATTGCTTTTGAGTGCGATACTAAGTTTAACCTTGAACTAGCTCAAAGTCTGAGTAATGCTGTACTGTAATTAGTTTACCATACACAAACTTGTAGCTGATTTACAACCTGCGAGATAAATTGAAAAAATATATTCGAAAGGAAGATTATTATGTTTGTTAATAAAAATTCTCTACTGTACTCGCTATGTACTTAACTTCTTTTAACTGTAGTAAACGTAATTTTAGTGTTTCTTAAATGTTGCCTTCTTAACTGGTGATTGTGTTTGGAAAATGTATAAAAGTTTCCTAAAGTTAGTTGTTTTTTTAAACCAAACGTTCCTTCCTTCTGAGAGAAATCATCATCTCTTCAGTAAAGTGCCTTTTTTTCTTTTTTGCCGAATGCCGAAGAAAAAAAGTAACCATAACATCTTGATATCAAAGAAAAATTAAAGCTATTCTTTTGGGTCCTGCAAAATTTTAAGAAAAGTAGTTGTTTTTTTTTTCTCAAAAGATAAAGCTAATAAATAACACTGAAGTGACGTTTGGAGAGAGAGAGAGAAGCGAAAACGTAATTATTTTTGGTTTTCAAGGAAAATTTTCTCACATTAGCTGGTTTAGAATTTGTAGAAGATAATCAGATATATATGTAGAAAGGTGACCAATTTATCGAATTTACTCAAATCTGTACATGTGTTTTAGCATGACTGTTTCGTTTTAGGTTTATATAAAATAATTAAAAGCGCTTATTGGAAAAGACTCTTACTTTGGTGACTCAGAAAAGTTTCGTGGAGTGTGCGCACTTTGTAAACTTGTATGTTATCTCTGTTATCATAATAATGCAAATAAAGAAATGATATATCATTAATGTCTGCTTTTTTGTTAAAATAAAAACAAATTACATTCAACTCGACCCACACGTGTGGAAAAAATTAGATTTATGGGCCAGGCTTTCTTAAAGGGTCCATTTTTCAACTGGTCAATGTTGAAAACATTTCTTCGGCCATAAGTATGATTTGTACAGTTCTTGAAAATATAACTACTGAAAAACCTTGTACCAAAAATCTAGCACTAGGGCTATATTCTGTTATGTTTTTGAAGATCTAGGGCTACATTCTGTCATGTTTTTCTTCCTTGATACTATATACTCCCCTCTAAAGTAAAGGGGAACACCTAAAGGAGGTCACGCGATTTCATGTTCAGTGATTTTTATTGAATAATGCAATTTACTCTTACCTTTTCAGTTATTGATAACAACAAATGTCTTGGCTGTTGTGTATAACAATATAACAAAATGACGTAATTTGAGTATCTACGCTAGATATACATGCGTAAAGGAGATCACGTGCTTAAAAACACAAATTTTATTACAAGCTCCAAATGGGCATACCCAAAACATATCTTGATACCCTGTGTTTGGGGTATGACCAGATCAAATTATATGCTTCCCAGATTGATTTTTAGACACTAATCTTTTTTATTTTCTCAAAAAATTGTAATTATTGTCTTGAAATTAAACAACCGTAAAGGACGACATGTTATTATGGATTATTTTTATATGT